TCCTGGTGCCAGTCTGGGTGCTGGTCCCGGTGCTGGTGCCAGTCCGGGTGCTGGTCCCGTTCCTGGTGCCAGTCCGGGTGCTGGTCCCGGTGTTGGTGCCAGTCTGGGTGCTGGTCCCGGTCCTGGCGCCAGTCCGGGTGCTGGTCCCGGTGCTGGTGCCAGTCTGGGTGCTGGTCCCAGTCCTGGTGGCAGTCTGAGTGCCTGTGCCAATCGCAGTGGCAGTCCTGGTGCCAATTCTGGTGCTGTTCCTGCTGCTAATCCCGGTGCCAATTCCAGTCCTGGTTCTGGCCCCGATGCCAGTCCCAGTGCTGGTGGCAGTCCCGGTGCCAGTGCCAATCCTGTTGCTGGTCCCAGCACCAGTCCTGGTTCCGGTGCCAATCCCGGTGTCGGTCCCGGTGCCAATCCTGTTGCCAATCCAAGTCCCGGTGCCGGTCCTGGTGCCAATCCCAGTCCTGTTGCTGGCTCTGGTGCTGGTCCTGGCGCCAATCCTGGCACTAATCCATGTGCCAATCCCGGTCCCGGTGCTGGTCCTGGTGCCAATCCTGGTCCCGGTGCTGGTCCCAGTGCCAGTTGTGGTGCCAATCTCAGTCCCAGTGCCGGTGCCAATCCTGGTGCCAATCCCAGTGCCAGTCCTGGTGCCAATCCTGGTGCCAATCCCGGTCGTGGTGCTGCTCCCAGCACCAGTCCTGGTGCCAATCCCGGTCCTGGTGCCAATCCCAGTCCCGGTGCCAACGCTGGTGCCCCGCTGTCCCGCAGAACCTGAAGAAGAGCTGGCACCCGCAGACGCTGCGCAATGTGGAGAAGGTGTGGAAGGCGGAGCAGAAGCACGAGGCCGAGAGGAGGAAGATCGAGGAGCTGCAGCGGGAGCTGCAGGAGGAGCGGGCGCGCGAGGAGATGCAGCGCTACGCCGAGGACATGGGCACCGTGCGGTGAGGGCACGGGGACACGGGCACGGGGACATGGGCACCGTGTGGTGAGGGCACGGGGACAGGGACACGGGGACATGGGCACCGTGTGTGACAGCACATGGACATGGGCACTGTGCGGTGAGGGGACAGGGACATGGGCACGGGGACATGGGCACCGTGT